GTTTGTTACATGTTTATCGTCATCGGCTGAGTTGTCCGCAAGATTAGCTTTGGTACCATCGTCTGCAGCACCGTCATTTTTGTCGTCAACATCATTACCTGCATCTTCATCTTCAGCCTGAAACAAAATAAATTCGGAGTGAGTTCATGATCAGGACCACATTCTTTATCGCGTATTAAGACAAAGAATTTAGAGCTCACATCAGAGTCAACTGGGTCATCCTTCGATTCCTGCAGAGAAAGCATCTACCTTTTAGCACACCATAAAGCAGAAGCAGCAAATCATGTGAAAAAAATACACAAGTTTCCACAAACAAAATTGCATGCAGCGAGTAATTTTATTCGTTATTATGATACCTCCTCTTCACTCTTCTTTTCCGCCTCATCAAAAGCAGCCTTCTCGGCCTGCAATATCAAACAATGTATTATTATTCAGTGCAAGGAATTAGACTTTCCTTCTCTTGAAGAACAACTGAAACATCATACATCCTTTTGTTTTCCCCATGTGTCTTCAGCAACTTTCTTAGCATACTCAGGGTCATCAGTTATCAACACATTGTCGAACAATGTTCCCGATTTCACCTGCAAATACAATACATGTTGAGTGAGTGTTAATTCTAAAGATAAGAGCTACCAAAATAAATAAAAAAAAGGCAGAAAACTAGCTTTTTACCTGCCACAACTCAACACCTACATACTTCAAGTTAGGGAAAACATAGAGATCTGGATCATCTTTAAAGTCTGCAAACATTCAAGTATTGAGGTTAACTTATATGAAACCATTATAATCGAGTGCAGACAGTGATTATTAATCAGAGGCAAACATACCTGGGTTGTCAATCATTGGTGCTTTCCACTTGCCCTTGTAGTTCGGGTTTTTGATTTTCTGTATATTGAAAAAGGCTAGTTATATACAAGTAGATCGACGTTGACAGTTTCAGTAAAAACGGGAAATGTAGATCCCCAAACCTTTGGCTTCCATGGGCCCTTGTACTCTGGATTGGGGATAGTCGGACGAGTCCATTGTCCATCCTCCTCATCATTCCAGTCTTCAGGCTGTAATCATAAGAGAGTTTTTCATAAGAAAAATCTGATACATAAAAGCCCATTTGATATATCAGGTTCAGAAATATGACGCGTCTACTCATCACCTTTTCGGCTTCAGCATCTTCAATCTCTTTTGGGATATCATCATAACCCTGCTTAGAAACGATAAAATTCAATGTTTAGATCAAATCAATGGTACCACGAGTCCCCATGGATGAAAAACGGAATGTACCTCTGGCTTCTTATCCTCTGGATCGTTAATGAACTCCTTATCTTGCCAATCCTTGGGCTGCAATGATGATGTAAAAACAAACATTACTCAGAGAGAGTTCGCTATTATCCGATAAACTGTAACTGAGAATGAATGACATAACTTTATTCAATGCTATATCAAAGCCAATTTTTTAGTTGCTTATATATTTTCTGTTTTCATACTCTTTAGATACTAATAGCCTATACTGCATCATTCAAAGGTCTTAACTATGACTTGAAAAGTGAACAAATATTTCCTTCAACGAATACGTTCGAATAATAAATAGTTTATCAAACAAATTAACCTTTTTGGCTGTAGGGTCCTTGATCTTCCTTGGAGGGAGAAGCTTCCAATCAGTGTATAAGCTACCTGTCTGCTTTTCGGAGTTGTCAATAAGGATGCTGTAAGTAGCATCTGGGCGAAGTATGAAAGTATATACGTGAGTCAGTTGGTCAGTCTCGCACGTAACATCCTTCTTGATCAAGTGGTTTGTTCCATTGTAGGTCAGAATAGCATGAACCTTATTTGTGGAGTAGCCGCAAATATCTGGTCCGAACATGATGCTGCACAAAAACACGACCGCAAAATTAAAGTTTTAAATGGATGTAAACTAACAAATGAAAAAACCAAAAGGTCCAATATGAACATTGTGTAACCTGTAAGGGGTGTCACCACCGAATTTTTTCTGGTCCACGTCGCCACTGAGTAACTTCATGTATCCACCACCACAGTCGAGCTTCTGCTCATGCTTGACAGAAAACTGGAAAACCAATGTTTTATCTTTATTGCTGAATTCGGAGAATTCAGCTGAGATTGCATAAAACCTTAAATCTTCACTGGTCTGGATACCTGCGGAGAGATAACGTGCAAGATCTTAACTACGTCTTTAGCACAATATATCTATCGATATACGACAAAACAACAACAAATAATTTGCAAGGGTATATGATAACCTTTGTCATTTGCATCCCCATTCCACTTTCCAGAGGTGTAGTTCCACTCTCCAGCCAAATTCTCCTCTTTCTTCCAGTCGGATTTGACCCACCGGTTCTCCCATCCAACTTTTAAAATCGTTTAAAAAAAAATATGAGTTCGAAATTATCAATGGTGCAACAACAGCAAAATTGTAATCTCAACATCTTGCAATCTAGTGGAGGTGCAGAAATGAACATTACCATTGAAACGCTCCTCGAAGAATACTTTGGTGGAGGACGCGACAATGAAGAGAGACAACGAGAGGGATAGAGAGAGAAGTCTAAAGTCGAACGCCCGCAAATTTCCATGCGCAATCGTCATGGCTGGTTGTTGTATGAGATTGAAGCAAGTGCATGCAGTGAGTGAGACAAGTGAGGACGATGTTTATATAGTGACAATTTTCACTGCACAACCTGACGTGGATCTATGAGGAGCTCATCCAATAAGAGAAAGACACGTGGAGTTTGTTGTCATTGGTTTAACGTGGCCCACTGTGAGTAGTGACACTTGGACTGGTAGTGTGTAAGGCAATTTGTCCTCGAGGCTTTTTTTTTTTGGCAATGTTTTATGCAGGAACAATATATTTTTTTTTTTGAATTTTAGGTACATCTTTTGACAATAAATGAATAAAACCAAAGTACACTTTTTAAGTTTTAAGTGAAATTTATCTTTTTAAGAAGTGTGCATTTTTATTACATATTTATTAAATCACGTTTTTGAAATTTATTTTAATAAATCAAGAGAACTTTGGTCGGATGAACCATTTTTTTTTTTTTTTTT